ATCGAGGACTAAGTTTCCAACACATGAGTTCCGTGGGACACGTTCAAATCGCAGCAACTACCACTGTTAATTTCTCAGCAAAAGTCTTATTGTATCTACGAGGGGAAAACAAATATTCTCCTGTCATTTTACAGTTCTTGCTTTTGGCCATAGGGATTGATACCATTTTGGTTTTTTTTTTTTTTTTTTCCAATTCAATTTCTCTATAATTGCTGTTTCTGAGAATTCGGGAGGTATTCTCAGGCTTTTTGAGTAGAATGGTTCTCACATCACTTTTTCTAGAAACCAGTTGTCTGTCCTCAGGCCTGGTCCTGGCTGCTGTAAAGGCAGAACCACTCTCCCCACCCCTCCTCACACCCAGAAGCTGCCTGTATCTCCAGGGTCTGCTGGCAGCCACCTGGGTGGGTGTCTAGGGCCTGGAAAGAACTTAGCTGCCTGTTTTCTTGCTACCTGATTGAGTAAGGAGGTGGCGGCCAGCAGGGCTGAGGACTATGGGATGGCATCAGCTAGATGGACCAGACATTATAGCCACCTGCTGAGAGGAGTCATTCTTCCTTAGGATTAGCAGCAGGTGCGAGGCCAGCAAGGGGCATCACCATGTGTGCTGAGCCTTCTCCCAGGCTTCCCAACGCCACCCATTTCCAAAGAGTCCCCTCCCCTTGTGCACAGCAGATTGAGCACCTGCAGAAACTGGTGCCTCTTGGGCAGCAGGAGATTATAAATGGCAGAACCCACACTTTTGCATATTAACTGTGCTAGGTTGGATTTGAAAGTGATGTAACTGTGTAAATTTTGCATTCAGATTACGAGCTGTGTGGGTGAGACAACCTTAACATTTCTTGATGTTTCCATTTTTAAGTTGGTACCCAGGATGTGACTTTAACACAGGTTTTGCCCTTTGATTGCAAAGGATTTGGGGTTGCCAGCCGCCTGGCTGGCAGTGGTGCTGATGGGGCATGTGCTGACACACAGTTCATGAAGAAACAGAATTACTAGGTGTCTCATACCTAAAGCCTCCTGCGTCCCCCAGTTGTCTGTAAGGAACTGTAGGCCACATGGAGGGGTAGGGAGGCAGGCATTTTTCCACGCTAGCCTGCCTGGTGTGTCCTCCTTCTGCAAAAAATATTTGTTGAATAAAGGAGAGAGGTGGCTGGGTCTGTTTTTCTTGCAGCAGCTGTGTGTCACCTTTGCACTCAGTCGGTACACAGTGTCCGGCACCCGTCTGAATGAGGGAGTCAATAAATGCAATGAGTAGGTCCAAATGGAGGAGCCTGGACTGTGACTTGGGACACTGCAGCTCTGCCCATTCGACCACTCATGGAAGCTCTTGTTGGCCACGTTAAGTGTGAGATTTTTCAAATTGCTAGACTTCACAAATGTTAGTTTCCCCAAGGAAGACGATGAGAAAGATGAAAGGGCATGTTTACTAGATACAAACAGGTCTCTCGACTTGAATATATTGGTTATTTTTCGTCATCTACAGTCATGTTGGCCAGAGACTCTTCTGGAGCGTGTCTGGACCTCTGCAGGATGCCTTGCTGGGGGGCGGGGAGCGCGTGCGTGTTGCTGTCTGGTGGGGTGAAGGGCCCCCCGAAACCCGCACGGTGCGTTCACCACGGCAAGGAGGCTCCCCCAGGTGGGAAGCCAGTTTTTCGCCTGGGAGGGAGCAGGATATATTTACTCGCTTCGGCAGCTGGTGCTCAGGACGTGGGCGGCGTATGAGGGGGGCTGTGTATAGGCACTTGGCACCCCGGACAGGATGCCTGTTTAAAGCAGCTTTGTAAATAAGCGTTCGGATCTTACCAGCCTACATTCTTTTTTTAGTCAGTCTTCTATTCTTCCTGAATGAACTTTTAGGCCATGTCTCCTCTAGGAAGAACACTTAAGGGCACCCTCCCTTTACGGGGATGCAGGTCCTGGTGAAATCTGAGACTCCCAAAGTCAGGGGTCGGTAGCTGTGGACACCGTCCAGCTCGGCTCCCCCGTGGGCCCCCCGCTCCGTGCCATGTCATCTCCAGGGTGTGCTGGTGCGTGGCCGGTCACCCCGGGGACTCTGTGCAGGCCCAGATACCATTCTGCCTCTGCAGCTGGGGGGGTGGAACAGCCCTGGTATTTCCTGTCTCGCCAGATCTCAGGAACTGTCCAGAGCTGCCTTCTCCTCTCGGGTCCCCAGGGCCAGCCTCAACAGCCTTGGTCCCCATTGGCCACCCTGTCCAGGCTCATGCCTGAGAGAGGAGCCAGCGGCACCCAAAGGCTCCCGAAGTGAAGGGTCGTTGAACGCGGTTGGGAGCCTCACGGATCCTGGGGCGGGCAGCGTTCTGACGGGAAGCGTGTCAGTCTTCTGTTCCTGGGTCAGCAGTGTCGCCCTTTTTCTCTCGCATACCTGAAGCAAGAGCCTGCTTTTCCCAGTAAGTGGGTGAGCACCTTTTTGCCTCTTTTGTGAGAGGCAAACAGAGGTTCAGGGAGTTTGCAGTGTTTAAGCTCCAAAGTTTGGGGAATATATTGACTCAGATGACTCAGAACTCACTTGGCACCCGCTGGTGACATCAGCCAAGCTATTTTCACCAGCATCCATCTGGCGCCTCAGGCTCCAGAGCTCCTTGTGCCCTGGCTGTGTCTGAGTTCCTAGTGGGACCCGGGGTCTTGTTCGTCTTTGCACCCCGGTACCCGGTGTGGACCCGAGGCACGGCAGGTGCTGTGGCATCTTCATCGTGACCGAGTGCTCGCGTGGATGGCGCCGTATTTCCTGTACTTGATGTAACTCTTTGGAAATACCAAAGCTCCTTATTTACAAGAAAGTAAAGGCAGCATAATGCAAATTGGATTCTGTTACCTAGGTAATGTGCTTTCACACTGTATGGCTTCCGTGACATTGCTGTGTTTTGATTTCCTTCTGTTTCTCTGACTTTTGATTCTCTGTAAAAACAAAGGCAGCTCCCTGAGGGCCTCCCTCTCTTGCGCCCCTTATGCACCGGAACTTCTCATGGTTCTCTCCTTGGTCCTCTTCATGTCAAACGTTGTGTTCTCTCCGGTGGGCACCGTTTATCCCATTGGCTTCACTGCTGTGAAAGGTACATTCTCATGGCTCCCAAATCCAGATCTCTTTCTGGGCTTTGGCCCTGGGACTGCCTGGCTGCTGAGCATCTCCCACTGGGTGGCCCACAGTGATCTCAAGCTCAGCGTTGCTGAAGCCAAGTTGGTTATCCCCCAGGCCCGTCCTGTGTCCCCACCCACCCAGTCACTGAACACAAAGCCAGGCATTTCCCTTGCTGCCTCTCCCTTCTGTGTCTTCGTACATTGGATGGGTGACAGCTCTCCGCCGTCACCTACTTTTTGCCATTACTCCGTTCTGCGTTGGTCTGGGTGTTCACGCCTTGGACCTGCAGCCTGGTGGACTTTTCTGCTATCGTCTGTGACACTCTGCTGTGCTCCTCTCTCTGCACCCCCTGCCCCCGCCTCTCCAGGCCAGCAGCGGACCTTGTGGTCATCTGCTCACTTTGCCTCCCAGCCCCGCGCGGCACCTGGGAAAGGGCTCGTGCCCAAAACACGCTTGTTGAAGGGCTGGATAGAGAGGTGCCCTTACGCCGATGCAGTGGGAGTGAGGGCTGGGTTTCTTCTGCGACTTACTTAGGTTGGTCTCCCTTAAACAAAGGTGCACACATCAGATAAAGAGGCAGCAGTGGAGGGACAGGGGTGGAGCTCTTTTCGTTGAGGGTCTCATCTTACTTCCCTTGGAGTCAGCCTGCTGGCGAGGGGACTGCCTCCGTGGTGTGGCATCGGGGAGGAGGGGAGGCAGGCAGGCCCAAGTGTCCTTGCTTGTCATTGCTGCCCGAGATTTCCCCGGGGACAGCTCATGCTTTTGTGATCAGCACTGCCTTCTCCAGGCAAACTTGACTCTACAGCCAACAGCACTGAAGTGTCACGTGGATTGTATATCTGGTCCTTTTCTGGGTGAGATGAAGGTGTTGCAAGATATAACAGGAAGAAGAAATTGGAGTTGAGGATTTCTGTAGACCATTAAGATGTTTTGTGTGGGCCTCCTCTTGCCTTCAGAGTGATTGCCTGGTGATACCAGTGTTGAGTCAGCTGCGAGCATTGCTTCCATCAGTTGTCAGCCTCCTAAAGGTCTTCTGGAGACCGTCGTCCCTCCCCCCATCACGCTGCACACTTTGTCAGCAAGCTTACCCATGCCTTTTGGGCCTGGATCCACTCAGCTTGATTTCTTGTTGTAGCTACAGGGACCAGAAACCATCTGGTTTCACCTAGTCGAGGGGACATTCTATCAAATGCATGAATTAGAATGAAAATCTATGTTATGTTTCGATAGAGGCTGGTCTTCCCATCTCTGTTGAAGAAGACTGTCGAGGGTGAGGTATTTGTGTACTTGTAGGCTGGAAAACCATGTGCTCTACTCACTTTTGGTGTTATTTCTTAACCTTTACCCTGGAAGTTAACAAGCGTTTGCTGCGCCTCTTGGGGCTTTCAAATTAGGATGAAATTGTGGTTGATGTCAGGAAAACAAACCATGCCTGCAAATGAGCAAGTTGTGGATTATGATTTGTATGATATTACATCATTGGTTTCTAAGATATCTCTGTGGTCATTTTGTCCTTGCTTGGCCAAAAATGGGGAAATACCACCAAAGGTTGCTGCTGTTTGATTCTTGGTCTAATAAATTACTTAAGATCAGAGCTTAGTGGAGTATCATTTGCATAGCAACAGGAAGAGTGACAGGCATTTAAGTCATTATTTTGATTGGTCTCCTTTGACCAAAACAGGCAGAAGATGTTGTTTCTTCCATTAGCTAGAGCCCTGATCTGCTGCAGGAGACCAGCTCTGTGGCTGTTGTAACTTCAGTGTCACCAAGAACTGCTGTGTTCTGCCTTCTGGGTGGTTTTGCTCTCTTCTTTCCTCTTTCCCTGTCTGAGCCTTTGCGCCCGTCATTACTACTCCCTGCAAATGGCCAAACTCACGTGCGTTTTTGTCATTTCTTCATGCAGATTTCAGCAATGTCCCTGACATCACAACAGGTCTGAAAAGGAGTCAGACAGATGGGACCCTGGATCAGGTTTCCCGCAGGGAGAAAATGGAGCAGACGTTCAGGGTAAGATGTTGGCTCAACATACAGGAATAACATTTATCAGGCGTTGGGCAGATGGAAGGGAAGGGATGGGTATATACGTATATGAGTGTGATGCGCACTGTCTGGGGTTGGACACGCTTGAAGCTCTGACTCAGGGGTGGGGGCAAGGGCAATATACGTAACCTAAGCATTTGTACCCCCATAATATGCTTAAATAATAATGATAATAATAAAAGATGCTGGCCCAAATTGCAAACTGAGAACCAGGCAGGCAAGTCTTAATTCCCACCTTTACCTGCGAGGAAAAGGAAGATAGAGTTGTCCTATCTCTAGTCCCAGTAGTTGATACAAACCATTTTTTTCCCTTAAATAATTTTCTTTTTAATTTATTTTTTTGGAGGGAAGTACTAATGGGAACCATCGACTTTAGCCATGACTCCTCGAAACTTCCAGTGTGTTTTCAAAGAGCAATGCCAACTTTGCCATGCACACGCTAGGATGGTTTTGCTTAGACCAGGCGTCCTCGAACTACGGCCCTCGGGCCACATGTGGGCCACATGCGGGCCGCCTTGCACATTTATCTGGCCCTCTGGGTGTTTTTGCTGCCACTGCTTGTCCTGCTTAGCAGCCGACTCGTCCCGGGCCCACAGTGTGCACTCTCCAACGGTCTGAGGGACAGTAAACTGGCCCCCTGTTTAAAAAGTTTGAGGACCCCTGGCTTAGACAAATAAAACCTAAGCTCTGGTGTTAATTACTATTCTATTCCTTTCCTCCTTTTTTTTTTTGTTTGGCTGAAGGTAAATTATTTTTGGAATGTTGTCATTTGTGTGGTAATATATATATGATATAAAATTTGCCATTTTTACCATTGTCAAGTGTACACTTCAGTGGCATTGAGTACATTCACGTTGTCTTGCTGCCATCATCACTGTCCATCTTCAGAACTTTCTCGTCTTTCCAGAGACTCTGTCCCCCTTGAACAATAACTCTCCATTTTCCCCTCTCCGAACCCCCTGGTAACCTCTTTTCTACATTCTGTCTTACTTGCCAACCCTAAGTGCCTCATAGATAAGTGAAATCATACAGTATTTGAGCTTGTGTTTCTGGCTCACTTAGCATAACGTCTTCCACACTGTAGCATGTGTCAGACTTTCGTTCCTTTCTATGGCTGAATAACGTTCCATTGTGTGGATACACCACATTGTGTTTGTTCATGCACCTGTTGGTGGACACTTGGGTCGTTGTCCCCTTTTGGCTCCTGTGAGTAACACTGCAGTGAACACTGGCGTACAAGTGTCTGCTGCAATCCTTGTTTTCAGTTCTCTGAGGTGTAGACCTAGGAGTAGAATTGCTAGGTCAAGTGGCAACTCTCTGTTCAGCTTTTTGAGGAACTGCCTACCCGTTTTCCACTGTGCTGCACCATTTCACATCCCCAGCAACGAAGTAGAGGGTTCCAGTCTCTCCACATCCTCTGCGGCCCTTGTTACATTCCATTCCTTTCCTTTCCTGTGTTTTAACTGGTCCTTGTCAGTTGTCCTTTCAGAAATGGTCTGATTGGCAAGATCTGTTTTAATAACCAGTCTAGTTTTTTTGTCTGTTTTTTTTTTTGAGACAGAGTCTGGCTCTGTTGCCTACCATAGAGTGCCATGTTAGCATAGCTCACAGCAACCTCAAACTCCTGGGCTCAAGTGATCCTTCTGCCTCAGCCTCCCGAGTAACTGGGACTATAGGCTTGTGCCACCATGCCTGGCTAACTTTATTTTTATATATATATGTATATGTATATGTGTGTGTGTGTGTTATATATATGTATATATTTTTTTTTAGTTGTCCAGCTAATTTCTTTCTATTTTTAGTAGAGAGACGGGTCTCGCTCTTCCTCAGGCTAGTCTCGAACTCCTGACGTTGAGCCATCCTCCCACTCGGCCTCCCAGAGTGCAAGGATTATAGGTGTGAGCCACCACGCCTGGCCTATCCGGTCTAGTTTTACTGATTTTAAAATCACGGACTGTTTTATGTTTCTTGCTTTTGTCATAAATACAAAATAAGGATGGGAGGAAATATAAGCAATAGCAGGCATTTGAAATAAAAGTGACAAAACGGGTGGTGCCCCAGTTGAGCAAGTCCCGCTGTGAGCACCCACGGGGCTCACCTTTGGGGACTGGGGACGCGCCCTGCGAGGGGATCAGGGGAGAGCCTGCCGGCCTCAGAGCGGATCCCAGAGGGTTCCAGAGGCTGCAGATGCCTCTACTTCCCGCTCTTCTCCCCTTCCCGTGCTCACTCGCTGAGCTCCCCTCCCACACCCACCCAGCTCCTCCAGAATCTTCCCCTTCCTCCCGACTTCTCAGACAAAGCAGGTGCTCAGCCGGGCTGGTTACAACCCCAGGGTGCAGTTTTCTTTTCACTGGCCTGAAATCCATGGCATTTTCCGTCTTACAACCCTGTTCTACCTCCGGTGGGTTTACTTTTGGGAACCCAGTATCAGAGCTAATATTCATCAGTTTTTTTAAACAAATCACTAGATCATCCTAGAGCATCACATAGATGTGTTTTGATTGCTTTGCCTTAAACTGTTTATAAAAGCAAATTCTCCGGAGACACTCATGAAGCGAGGCTGTCTAAGCTGAGCGTGCTGGGGGCGCTGGCCAAAATCACTTAATGCAATTAGGGGTAGTGGTTTCCCCTGTGCTATCATCTGCTTGCTTCATGCATTAAAGTACTTAAGAAGGAAATTATATATATATTTTTTCCAAATTTAAGATTCAGTAAAATACATATGCAAACAGCATGTTAAGGCCATTTCCAACTCTTATATGACAGTAGCTCTCATAACTAAACAGAACATTTTCAAAGGGAACATTGCCAAAGTAGTGATCACCTTACCTTTCTTCAGATATGAAAATATCTACATGTAATAATGGATTTCAGTACATTTTAAAAAGATCCTAGGGCAATGCCTAGCAGTCACTCAGTTCATGTGTTCTTTGTTTCTTTGGTGACCACCAAAAATAATAATTGTGATGGACATTAGTGAAAAGAAAAAGTTTCGAAGTTGAGGATTTAAATTTTTTCCTGTTGGGTTAGTGTTTTATTTAAATCTCCTAGAAACATCAGGTTTTATGTGAAAGCAGTCCTCCTCTGTTTTTAAACTGGTGATTTGGGAGTTGTCTGATAAGTGCCAAGCACATGCTGGGAGTGGATTTTTGGGACCCCCTGCACCCCCTCATCCATGTGATATCTGCATGATGTCCACAGAAGGTGCTGCTCCACACCTACTGCACCTGCCTCTTTTTTCCTGGCCCCCTGCTCTGGCCCAACTGGTCTTCTCGGGGGTCATTAACTTCTTTTCAGATCAGACCCTGGTTGAACCTGGGCTGTTTGGGATATTTTACTAACAAGTATTCTAGACTTGAGAATAAAGAATAATTTCCCTTGAAAATCAAGTGAAGCCTGGCTTGATGAAGCGCAGCTGTAACAAGGGCTTTTGACAGCCCTGCAATTTCGGCAAATGGCTCATAATTGATTGCTTTCTTCTCTGTAAGGGTGCCTATTACTGTCATAGCTCTTTGTGTGACCCTGTCAGCCTCTCCTATGTGGGGGATTTTTTCCCTCAGTATTGTTAGCAATTAGCATGTGCTATTGTCATAGTTGGGAGTTCGGAAGGAATATACAGTTTCCCCTTGGGTGAGGGGGTTGAAGTTTTCGGTTTGTTCTGGGAGCTCAAGGTGCGTTAGGCGGTCCGTTTCCTGCTCCCTGAGCTGGCTCTGCGCGCCTGGCCCTGTGTGGTTCTGCCGTCTGCACGCTGCCGTGACCCGGTGCCTTCCCAGAGCAGGCAGCTCGCAGCATGGGTGGGAACCGAGAGGAAGGGGGCGAGCCTCCCCCAGTCATTGGTGCTGCTCTGGAGGAAGAGCTTGGTGGCGCTAGGACGTCCTTGTGAATGTGACTTGGAAGAACAGTTGGGATTTTTTTCATTGCCTGGGGATGAGACAGAGAGAGAGAGAGAGAGAGAACGCACATCTCACTCATTTCCCTACAGCCGACTGTAGATGTGATCCTTTCTCCCAGAGGGAGCAGGTTTCTGTGCACTTTTCCTTTTTATGTACAGCATGTAAGTAAACAAGGGCTTTGGTTTTCATGGATGTAGATTCTGATCCAAATGTAGGCATGCTTGCATGGTTTTCTTTTCTTGATTGGAAGTTGATTTTATTCTAAAACTGTCTAAAGACTGTTGTTACACAGATGAGAAGATGTGCCTGATTCTGACAGTAATCTTTAAGCACTCTTTACAGCTAAGGATAAGAGAACTTCTTTTGGATGCTAGATATTCTGTGGCTTTGTCAACTTTTCCTTTCTCATTCCAAGGTCTTGAAATTGATCTCTGAAGTAGTTTTGTCCGTCTGAAATATAAAGACATCAGAAAGGCCTAGGGAAATATTTACTCTGTAAGATGCATTTGAAAAGCGAGAGAGGAGTAATTTGAATAGAGCAATTAATTTTATGCTTGTAAAATTTCCTTGGGTCATAACATGTACTTGAGTTGGGCTTAATGCTGTAAAAGAAAATCTATAAAAATGAAACCTGTTTTCTACAAGGTAAGCAGAGTTTTTAATTTAGTTATTCCTGATTAAATAATTTTTTTTTTTTTAGCTCTTTAGAAGACTTTTATGTAATCACCTAGTGTAGCTTTGGCAGTAATTATTTTTGCAGTTTGTAGGCGTTGTGTTGATAGAACAGAGCACATGGGGAATCTGGAGATACAGCATGGCAACCAAGTGTTGTGCTCTTTGCAATTTAATCATGTTTAAGATATATTTTGTCCTGTTTATTTTTTCAAGGTAGAAAAAAAGGAACATGCACTAATGGCTAGGCTTTTAGTACACAGCGTGAACAAAACTTGCATTTGATTTTTAACTCCTGCTCACTCACATAGCTTAACCTTTTGAGTTTCTCACATGAATTGCTTTTAAGAGCTTGCATATCTGAGAAGCTCAAGGAAAAGAAAAGGATTAGACTACATGATT